CTTCTAGTGAGCTGGATTTTAGCTGCTTTTTGCTTCCAGCCTGCCTCCCAGTCTCCTTACTGTGAGCAGTGTGTGTGTGTGTGTGTGTGTGTGTGTGTGTGTGTGTGTGTGTGTGTAGGGATTGGTCAGTGTGCACTAGCACGTGTTAGCTCACACGTGCACTCATATGCATGCACTCAAAATCCTTCCCAGGGAAAATTACATGCACAAAACTAGCTGGACCTATCAAGGCATTTGAGGCCTGGTGAGCCCCTCCCCAGACTCTCCAGCCTGAGGCTACCACTCAAGACAACAGATATTTTGCGTCTGAAAAGGCAGAGTTAGGAGGAAGGATGTGAGACCAACCTTGACACTGGACACAGTCACCCAAGATGGCAGGTTTATGAAGGGATCAGAGAGAAGCAGGCAGAGAAATAATGCGCTTCCCAAGGATGCTAGAGTTTTATTTTGGCTTTTGGAATGATAATAGCAGGCATTAATCATTGTCATTTTTAGATGTAATGTACACATACAGCCAACTGAGCATTTCCTAGGGCCCGAGTAAAATGCCACGTGAATGATTCGCTGAGCCCGTAGCTGAGTTAGGCTCTAAATTACTCCAAGAAGAAATTAGTTTGTGACAGCATAAAATATTTCACTGACCTGTAAATGAAGAACACCTTGCAGTTCTTTCCCATGTGTTTTAATGTGTGTGTGTGTGTGTGTGTGTTTTTTTTTCCCCTGTTTGGTTTCTTTCTGTAATTCTAGAAACTGCAATATTTTATCTAGGAAGTATCTTCCATTTTCTCAGAACAGCCAGATGCTAACATGGAATATGCCCTCACACACAGTGCACTAGGGCCCAGCAGAGAAAAAAAGAGGAACTGCAAGTGCTTTCCCAGGCATGCTGTCTGAGAACAAGTTAGCTAGACATGACCCCGGCCCTGCCAAACGAATGAAGGATTCAGTGTGAACCTTGCAGTACGTTGAGGATAGAAGGTTTAAAATCATCCTGGGGACTCAGGAATCTTCTGTTTTCCTGTGCCCTCCCCTTTAATGATTGAATTACGACTTCATGTGTAAAATTCTCCTATAGACTAGCCCCCCAAGGAAAGCCTTCATGTTTATAATCATAAATGGGATCTGAGAATAAGTTAAGGAGGGACTGAAATGCTTAGAAAAAGCACAGGAGACCGTGGGACAACCTGTTAATGCTGGAAAACAGGAACCAGTTGATGTTGTTAGAAACAACTTTATGAAGGAAATACGTTCCAGATTGCTCTTCTGTCCAGAGACCTTATTCATTCTTTCTCTTTGTCTCTCCCCACCCCTCCTCCACCATGAACCTCTGCACCCAAGGAGAAAGAATGATGAGAACATAACACTAGAGACCGTTTGCCATGACCCCAAGCTTGTCTACCACGGATTTGTTCTTGAGGATGCTGCTTCTCCAAAGTGTTTTATGAAGGAAAAAAAAGTGGATGGCGAGACTTTCTTTATGTGTTCCTGTAACACTGATGAGTGCAATGACCACATCATCTTCTCAGAAGGTGAGTTTTCTTCTCTTGATGGGCTGGAGCCTGACTTCCTCTGTGTTGATTTCTTGTGTCCCTTGTCTGCAGTCCCAAGGACAGCCCATCTTTCCGTGGCTGATGCTGGCAAGTGATCGTATGCTCTGGGGATGAAGAGCCCAATGACCTGGTGGAAAATGCTTATTGAGTAACAGAGTTGCTTCCAGTCCTAATTAAAACTGGCTCATGTGCCCACATTATTTGTCTTTGACAAACAGTTCCTTTTACCTAGAGCAGTGGTTCTCAAAGTGCAGTCCCTGGACCAGCAGCAGCAGCATCACCTGAGGACTTGTTAGAAATGCAGATTCTGGGGCCTCACCCCCCGACCTACTGAATCAAAAACTCTGGGCTCTGGGCCCAGTAACCTGTGTTTTAACACACCTTCCACATGATTCTGATACAGCTAAAATGTGAAAACCACTGGTCAAGAGATTGGAGGAGGCTGTTTGATATAAGAGGAAGACTTGCTTTGAATTAACTCAAGTGGGTTTTGTACATATTCCTAGGATTTGTCTAAAGCATACTTATCATCGGTCTCATTTAGCATACTTATCATTGGTCTCATTTGAGAGGAGAACTGAGATGCAGAAGGAAAATCATGAGCCAAGGTTTACCCACAGAGACAGGGGAAGATTAGATTAGATACCAACCTTTATCTTTGAAGTTCAGCATTCACTCAGCTTGAAAGAAGGGCACACAGTCCCTCAATTAAAAAAAAACTATTCAGAGGTTTCAAATTATAGAAGCAGTATATATTCTTTATCACAATTTTAAACAATCCAAAAATATGTAAAATTTTTAAAAAATCAAAGTACATTAACCTTATCCCCTCACTCCCAACCCAGCAGATAATCAATATTAAGAGTATG